GATTAGAGTTATCTGTGGGATGGGATCAGCAGGATTTGATAATGGAATGAATGTCTGGGGAAATATCTAAAGTGACAAACAGATTTTCAGCTGAGGCAACCCAGGGACTGAAGGTGCTACTAAGATGGGAAAGAACGGCAGAGGTGCAGCTTTTAGGTGGGAGCTGTAGTGGGGATCAAGAGTGCAGGTTTGGATACATTTAGCTTGAGATTTCTTTCAGCCAGCCAAGTGGAAACGGCGTGTGGACACATACGCCGGTACTGCAGGTGACTCTGTATCCCAGAGACCATCTGGTGCTATTGGGGTGGATGAAATAACTATCTATCCAGTACAGAATGAGAACTGTCCCAATGAGCTGCATCTTGAGGTCAGAGAGAAGAACGGCCAGGAAAGCAGCATGAGAGCGAAGTGATGGAAGTGACTCAAGAAACCGGAAGCTGTCAACGATGCGGAATACTGATGAAAAGGTAGGTGTCCGCTGGGTCTGGCAATGTGGAAAGCCCAGACAAGCTGAGCAAGCGCAAATCTGGAACTGAGAGAAACCAGCTTGGGATAAACTGAAAAGGTAACAGAGGTGGGTGGGTATGGTCAAACCTTTGATAATGACCCTCTGCGGGAGCAGTAGAGAGACAGGCAGGAGCTGTCTCCTGAAGGTGAGGAGTGAGCTCTCACCTCCGCAAGCTTCACCCAGGCAAGGTTCTCCAAACCCTACACCATCAACCCTAAGCTGACCAGAGCTGACCCTCACAGCTCGAGAAGACACCACACCGAGGCTCAGAGGGGAGTGGGAAAGGCCTTCAGCCACTGCCGGCTCTCCTCCGACCTCAGACTTGCCTGCATCTTCGGCACATGAACCCCATTCCTTATTCTTGGGTATTGTACTCTAGCATTCAAAACTTCCATCATGGGGTGGGGGAGGGATGGATTGGGAGTCTGAGATTAGCAGATGCAAACTATCACACACAGAATACAACAAGGTCCTACTGTGTTGTACAGGAAATGTGCTATATCCTGTGATAAACCGAAACAGAAAAGAATGTATGTATGTGTATATCTGTGTGTGTGTGAGTGTGTGTATGAGTGTGTAAACATATATATGTGCTTGTGCTTAGTCACTCAAGTCATGTCTGACTCTCTGTGACCCCATGGACTGTAGCCCACCAGTCTCCTCTGTCCATGGGATTCTCTAGACAAGAATACAGGGGTGGATTGCCATGCCCACCTCCAGGGGATCTTCCCAACCCAGGGACTGAACCCAGTCTCCCGCATTGCTGGTGGATTCTTTATGGGCTAAGCCACCCCATATATATATATATATAGGCTGAATCACTCCACTGTACAGCAGAAATTGGCACAACACTGTAAGTCAACTATATCAATAAATTAGAAAAAAAAAAAAACAACAACAAACCTGTTCCATCATAAAGGCCTTAAGTCTCTACTGAAAAGCTCCTGTATGTCCAAGAGGCACTGAAAAGGTATGAAGCGCTTCCTCATACTCTTTTGGTTAAGAAGATCTGATCTCAACCTTCCCGTTTCCAGACCTACTCTTCTAGGCCTTCCCAACAGACCCTTTCTGACTTTATCCCCCACTGTTCTTCGCCTTGAAACTTCTTCTACTGCCTATGTGTGCCCCTTGTATTTTCCTACCTCCACGTATTTGCTGTTTTTGCCCTTTAGAACTAGCCCCTCCTCCTTGCCTTGTTGAATCTCCCCCATCCCTTGCATCTGGCTTGTCTTTACACATCTAGAACACCCGGCCTGGTCCCTTCCTCTGGCATTTCTCCTACACTGCTTGGGAGCACCTTTGCTGCCTGTGCCCCTCCTTACCTCCTGCACTGAGGAACACTGAAGCTGCCTGCTTATTCCTTTGTTTTCTTTGCTGGCGCTGGTACATCAGAGGCAGTTGGTAAAATAAACATTTGTTTATTGATGGGTTGATTGAGAAAATCCAGCGGTTCTTCCTCCCTGTAGGATGAAGCTTTGCAGCAGTCTTGGCAGGGCTTTCTCAGGGACCAATGAGAAGGAAATGGGGGCCACAAGCATTAATAGTCTGCTTCCTACAGAATCACTAGAGGGAGTTTCAAGTCACTTGAGTTCAAGTTCAAATTAAGCTCTGGCTATCCTGACCATCAGCTATTTCAAATGCTCCTGTAGAAGCCTTCTCTTTCTTGGAAATGTGGAGAAATTTAAACCAAGAAAGCTCATTTTTTCTTTAACCTATAGATAAAAGTTTTCTTGGCATTTTAAGTTGCAGGTTTCCTCTGGCATAGTCCCTTTTAAATGTTGAAAAAGGCAGTTTTATAACCTATAGTCTCTCATCATACCATGCTTCATGTAACAAGAGCATTACACAAGGGTGAAAATTCAGCCTGCAGTGTTTTCTCCACTCAAGGTACTGGCTAAAATGGACATAATAACTAGTAGGTTGCAGTGACTTTCATGCAATATGGGTTTCTATCAGAAAGTTTACACTCGCCAAGTTTTCAGGGCCGAAACATTTCGTGGAAATTGGTTCAATCAAATCCAGGCTCCAAACTGGCCTTAAACACACACAGCCATTATTGCAACCACAAAGACAGGGGGGCCCCTGGACACAAATCTAAAATAATATGCTTTACGATTTCTTGGGGACTATTTTTGTCCCCCGCCAACAACAACATGAAAACCAAGAATCTTAAAATACTGAAAGTGGTAGTTTAAAGGCAGAACTTTTTTCCCCCTCCAAATCCCAAAGGCAGGAACTCAGCAAGGAAGTGTCAGGGAGAATGTGTCCCTCTGAGCAGACACCAACTCACACCCTAAAGCGGGTGCCCACGTGGACACATCTTCTCACAGAGTCAAGGAAGTTCAACTACCATGTCTGTTTATATCTCACCCTGGCTTCTCCTGAGGTAGAATATATCCTCTTTTATGAAAGAATGATTTATTTACTTTCAGATTACTAATTTACAGGAGATGTGAGGCAACAGAGAGTCTTGGCTGCGAAGTCTTGGGAAAAGTAAGACTTTCAGCTCAGTCCCTCCTAGTGTCTCCCAGAGTGGCTCCAGGCTGCAGTTACTGCCCCCAACCAAGGCTGCACACTGCCGTCAGGGCCAGGCCCAGAGAACAAACGCAAAGGTGCCCTTGCCTATCTGGGGCTTTCTCTGATTTAGCTGGAGATAATGAGTTTCTTAAAAAAAAAAAAAATCTTTACGAGACACACATGTTCAGATATGATAGTTCTTTTGAGGGTGTGTATGTTTTTAAATGGCATGTGTGTTAGTTGTTCAGTCGTGTCCAACTCTTTGAGACTGTAGCCCACCAGGCTCCTCTGTCCATGTGATTCTTCATGCAAGAACACTGGAGTGGGTAGCCATTTCCTTCTCCAGTGGATCGTCCCAACCCAGGGTCTGAACTGGGATCTCTTGAACTGCAGGCAGATTCTTCACCGTCTGAGCCACCAGAATTCACCCCAAATAAGATTTCCCCTATTTCTCACATCCAGCTGCCTTCCAGAAAGACAAGAACACTCTGGGTGCAGAGAGAGAACAAACCGGGCTGTCACACACCTTCCCTAGGAAGGAGCTTTCTCCAGCATTGAGTTTTTATGATTAGAGAGGAAAGTTCAGACTCTGTGGGGTGGGGAAAAGGGTGGGAGTGGGAGCCGGGAGAAACAAAGCAACCTGTCAAAATTCCTTTTAGCACCTACCACTAGTGTTAACTCACCCGCTCTCAAAGTGCAATTAAAAGCCTGCAAACTGCTGTTAAAAAGATAGTTTGACCTTTTAAAATGGAAACTCTCCCAACTTATATCCATATTCAAAAGATGAACCTTGGGAACTCTGGAGTTTTAGATTACTAATGAAATGAGGCTGACTTTTCAGAAGAGGGTTTCCCTATGGGCTGCAAGCTAATTAGGGTGTTCTAGACCTACATTGTAACCTGCATTGCAAAATGCAGGCCCCAAACCTTTCAGCCCTTGTAGTTGCCAACTGCGCAGAGTGTACTTCTGAAAGGAGGCTGGCAGGGAGTTATGAAAATTTAGTTAATGAAAAAGTCCTGGACGCGACTGTCAGCAGCCTGCGGTTCCGGGGCAGGTTGTCGGCCCCTGGCGGCAGAAGAGTCGCCGCGGTCCCGGGTCTCCCCCGCAGCTGCGGAGCCCGGCGCGCGCCGAGCGGCGCTGCTGAAAGAAGTTGGAGAGCTCCCAGCTCGCAGACAGAATTCGGCGGTGGGCGCTGGGGAATCCCTCCCAGCGCCGCAGAATAAAGTTTTGGAGTAAGTAAAGACCCTAGACCGACATGAGACCCACACTTTCACTGAGCAACGACACGTATCGCACCGCGCCAATCAGAGGCTGCTCGCACAAGGCCATCAGCCTGCTCCGCTGGGACGCGCCCGGTGCCTTCCCACTCCCACCACCTCCGGTACTCTTCCGGAGGGCGCTGAGCCAGGGAGGTGGCTGTCGGGTGTGCGGCTCCGGATGGAAACGCCTCCAGGCTTTCCGGTTCGGGGGACAAGGGCTCGAAGGAACAAGGGCAGACCAAGTCCAGGCTGGACGCCTGGGACCTTCCTCTAAACCGGCTCGGGTTTCTCCAAAGCACGCGCGGTACAGCCCACGCGCCCCCGGCACTCCACTACTCTCTACAGGTCCCCCCAAACTCTTCCCCAGAAGCCCTGCAAAGCACAGACGGCGCCCCGAAACTCCCAGGGCACTAGCCAGCCACCCCCACCTCCGTCTCTTGAACCCTCCTCAGAGCGTTCTTCCCGCCCCGCATCATGCTCCTAGCATTCATAGGGAATCAGAAGCAAACCACGAGAAAATGCCTTCGCGAGGAGCCTCCCTACACACATCAGCCCTGTCACTGAAACAAAAGCGTAGGGAGGAGGGAGATGGAAAAGGAGGCGGGAGGAAGGTTTATAAAAAGGATGGGGACAGCAATAAGAAGGAGCTGGGGAGGAGGGTGAGAAGAGACCAGGGCCACGGACCCCGCTCCTACTCCGCGCGGCCGGTCGCTTACATGCCCAGGTCGCTGTAGGTGTTGAAGAACTCCATCTGGTTGCACGCCTGGATCCAGCCCACCACCCAGGTCTCGTGGCGGGGGATGGGGGGCATGACCACGCGGGCCGAAGCTTTGAAGTAGGGGGTCTTGTAGCGCNTGCCGCCGCCGCCGCCGCCGCCGCCGCCGCTGCCGCTGCATGAACCTCTGCACCGCGGCTGCCCCCCGCGTGCAGCGCACCCAGCGGCGGGCGAGCGGGCGGCCCTCGCAGCAGGCGGAGGCAGCCGTGGCAGCGGCGGAGACCTGCGCTCCCGCCGGCCCCGCCCCGCAGCTGGGCCGCAGCGACACTCCTCTGCCGGGCCGCCGCGGCCTTGGGGACGCCAGGGGCTGTGACCCAGGGTGGAAGGCCCCACGGGCCGGGTGGTCCGGGACGAGATCCGCGGAGGAAGCTGGCGGAACGCCATGAGTTTTGTCCCTCTCCGGCTGCCGTTCGGGTCGGGGTTGGGGGGGGGTACTGTGTAAGGGTGGGGGTGTTTAAAGGGCCGCCAGCGCCGGGGTGGGGCCCGACACGTGGGGCCCTGGCGGGGCGGGGCTGCAGTGGGTGGTTCTCCTGGGGTGGGCTCGGGGGTTGTGGGGACCCCTCCTGGGTTGGGTAGGTGTTTCCGAGAAGGGCAGGGCGCTGTCCAGAGGCTGGGTGGGAACCCGGCAATGAACCTTGGGGCAGCCTAAGGGTAAGGGGAGCAGCTATATCGGAGATTGGCCCGTCATTTATAATGTGGTTTGTTAAGAATTAGGCTTGAGCTCCCCTAGTATTTACCTTGAAGAAGGCCGAAGTCTGGGCCCCAGTATGGTGCTAAATGCAGTGGAGTTACGTCTTTCCCTGACTGGGTTTGCCCTGGAAGCGTTTCTTTCCACCACTCTCCATGGTGAGAGTATCCAGAGAATTCTTCCGTGCCCTAACACTGCAAGAGTTTTAGTTGAAGCTCGAACTCAGCTTCACTCATCATCTGCCTTCATCCAGATCTTTTCTTTCTTAGAAAACCGTCTTTCAGCAAATCTCTACCCATTGGGAGATCAGAGCAGTAGTGAACTTACGCTAAACGCTGCATTTTGAATGTAGATGTGTTCCGGGACAGGTTATTGCCTTGCGATACAGACTGGCTGCATTAGAATGCTTAGCAGCCTTCTTGAGGTTACCCAAGGTAACTTGTGACCTGTTAAGTACAAGGCGAACTTGAGAACATTTTTGGAACCGGGCTGGATTTAAATAGTAACTGCTTAATGATACAAGCCCAGGGCCATTTGTAGTAATCCATCTGTCCTGTAGAAATCCTGGATCTCAGGGACCTGTTCTTTCCTTTGCTTTTGCCACGGTGACTGGCCCTCAGTAGCTGCTCAGCAGTTTCTGTGAGTGAATGAATGAGTGAACAAACAAAAGCATCACAGTAGCTTGTCTGTGGAAACTGCCACCACAGATATTGGACATTGTGTACAGTATGACGCCCTGTGTCTGATACCGTGCTCTGAAATGCCAAACAGGGGGAAAAAAAAAAAGCACGTGGTTTTACTGGGCATTTTCTTCCCATTTGTATTTTTAAAGCCAATACCTTCTTTTTAAGTATTTCTTCCATGGTCATTGAGCATTTGTTGGATCTAGTGTCCAGGTGTGAAATATTCTGACTTAGGCTGCACAGGACTCTGGTTAGCGTTAGTCTTTAGCTAAGGACAGAGGAGTAATTTAAAAGTCACTTGAGGTCTAAAAGTACCCTATCCTTATTTTAACTTTCCTGGCACCTTGATTCAGTTTAGAGGTAACAAAAAATGTAGTTTTTGCCCTTTGATAACAGGCTTCTCTCATTTTACCATGTAACCCCCAATTTCAATCGCAGGTCCTTTTGTTCAGTGAACACTGACTGTGTGGCCAGAGCCCAGCATTGTGCTAAATACTAGGGTTCAAAGACAAGAGCTTGTGGACCACTGGAGAAGATAACTTTGTTACCACATTCTTGCTGTAAACTGTGATGCGTGCCTTAGTAGCATGTTTTAAGGGCCGCAGGAGCCCAGATAGGGGAGCCGCTGGGAGGTTTGCACGTGGCTCTCCTGAAGCAGTGGCATTTGAACTGAATCTAGAAGGTGTGGTAGAAATTTGCTAAGAGTACAGAAGTGAAAAGGCCGTGCAGCCCAAGAATTGGATAAATACAAAAATGCATGGAGGTATGAAAGAACACAGCATAATTAGGAAGATAAGCAGCTCCCAGTCAATGCTGTTCTCAAAGTGTTATGTGTAGACCCATGGGCGTCAGACTCACTGGCCAGGAGCCAGTTATTGATGGGACCATATTTTTATCTTCAGTGGCAACTAATGAACGCAAAATTTGCATTTTAAGAAAAATTACTCTCTGTCAACTTGGGGGATAGAGGAAGGACAGGTTAGAGGCACTGTGTCAGGATATTGTGATGCCAGAGGATTTGGGTCTGAGCTAGGGCAGTGCCATGGGCCTGGAGAGGCCTAGCTGCTTTTGAGAGTCATTTAAGAGGTCAAATCAATTTACTTGGTAACTGATTAGATATTGAGAGAAGAGTCTGGCCAGTTCTAAATTTTCCAGCTTCAGCAATCAGTACATGTGATCTTAATAGCCAAAACAAGGTGACAAGTGGAAGCAGATTGAGGTTGTGTATTGTCATGTTAAGTTTGAGGTATTCTGGGGAGGGGGCCAGATTGAAGTTTCAGTGGTTATTAAGTTACAGGAAATAGACTAAGGGAAAAGCATTCAGTTGGGGGAATTTAGTTATCTATGTTGGTTTGTCAGGCTAAAATTTTATGGATAAATATTATTCTTTGTCTTCTGGTAATACATACTGAGCCTTCATAAACAGGGAAGGACAATAGTAGTCTTCTCCAGATTATAAGAAAATCATATAAAAGAGAATATATCTTATTTTTCCAACTTAAAATGAGAGCATGCTATATCCAGTAGAGTGCCAATAAAATATAATTCATTATTCACAGACGTGGACCCCTGACATTCTTAAAGGGTTCATCCATGACCTTCATGAGTCTCCAGAATCATGAATATCACCATGACATATAATTTCCACTATAAAAAGCAGTAAAGTGCAACTGAAAAATGTAAGGGGTATTTTTTAGACTATTAATGGTTCTATAAATATGGTGCCAAGGTATTTCTAAAGCTTCTTAAATAAATTTTCCATTAGAATAAACTTTTTACTTCATTACATCTGTACCTTATTAACTCCATATTTCTCTGACTCTGCGAAGTCAAAAAAGTTAATCACAGTGTGAGAATTACCAAATAGATGCCAATGAGAAAAGAGGTAAGCTGTGCTGGGGCACAAATGCCAGGTGTGGGGTGTGATCCATTCACCAGTAAATGGCTGGCAAGTACACTCTGGTCTCCTAGCAGACCATTCAAGTTTGTGTCTCAGCAAAGTATCCAATTTCAGGGATGTTTCAGATCACTCAATAGAGACTGTTTTCATTTATGAACATTCAGTCTGCAAAGAGCGATGGGCTGCTACATGTAGCTCAAACCAGAGTCCTCAGAAGTGCGACAGTGCCTCTATGCTGCTCTTGTAAGTTTCTCTTTCTCTCTTGGTGAAGTCTCCCTGCCTCTGTTAGCACCATGTTCCCGCCTCTATTAGCATCTTTTCTGCTGTTTCATGGTGGTTTGCTCTCTCTTGTCTCCCTCAGCAGGCTGTACACTTCTCAGAGGGATGCGTTGTCTGCCCTGTTGCCCGGCCTAGTGCCTGGCACCTAGGAACTACTCAATAAATGTTTGAATGACTAAATTTATTTTTTTAATCTGATAAAATACTATTTCTCATAACTTAACCATGAGCTCTATCTCTTTACTTACATTGAGCATATATATATATATTTTTTTAATTTTTTTATTTTATTATTTTATTTATTTATTTTTGGCTATGCTGGATCTTCGTTGCTGTGTGAGGGCTTTTCACTGGTTGCGGTGTGTGGGCTTCTCACTGTGGTGGCTTCTTTTGTGGAGCACGGTTCTAGGGCATGCGGGCTCAATAGTTTTGCTGCATGAGCTTTGTTGCCCTGTGGCATGTGGGATCTTCACAGACCAGGGATCAAACCCGTATCTTCTGCATTGGCAGGGAGATCCTTTACCACTGAGCCACGAGGGAAGCCCACCGAGCATATATTTTTTAATCTACGTCTTTCTGCATGGCACCTCTTTGTCCCCCCACCCGCTTTGTCTTTCTCTGTCGAGCATCCCTACTTGATGTAAAGTTGACATCTTTTGTCTTTGAGCACTATTATCTCCTCTCAAAGATTATCAGTCCTAAACACCAAGAAATGGAACAGCTTTAATGGCAGGACCTCAGTGACAATCATTCCTTGTGAATAAGTTCATTCGAGTTTATTCTCAGGGCACACACAGTTCCTCCTTTGTACTCATTCTTCTGATGCTCTTGTGCATGACAGAGCCTCTCAGTTCCCCGAGTCAGAGCCCTAGAGTGCACTCTCCAGGATGCTGGCCTCTGTATCCCCTTTATAACCCCCTGCCTCAGCCTCCAGTGACCCCACACCCCATGTTTCCAGAAACTGGTCAATCTCTGACTTTATTTTTCCTATCAGTTGACTCATTACTCAATTTGTCAAGTGAGCTTTTTGGAAACTCTGGGTCACAAAGGCCTATTTTCTAGTCGATCTTGGTAAGAGTTTTCAGAGACTGTAACAGACCACCAAAAGTTGTTGAGGAATTACCTTTGAAACTTCTTAAAAGGGAGATAATTTCTATCTGACTTAGATGGTCCGAAGGCAAGCAAGGGGTTAACTGAATCCTCAAAGTCTTAGAGAATATGATTAAAGAAACAACTCTTTGGGGGGGGTAAAGCCCTCCTACCACCACTTCAAGTCAGAGTAACCAGTCTCCTTTCCGGGCTCGGCTAAGAAGGCTTACAGGAAGTGGACCCTGGCAATGGACGCAGCCTCCTTTGCTGAATGCATTCAGCCCAAGGTGCAGCAGCTTCTTCAAGTGGCCAATATTCATCAAGTTTTTCTAGCAGCCTCACATTACAATAGGCTGCAGAGACTACCGAGGATGCCCTAGTTGGTGAGCTGTCTTTCTGAATGTCCTTGTGCCTGTCTTCGCCACGAAATCCTTTTCTCAGTCCTTATATGCAGGGCTTGATGCTTTTCTTCTTTTTTAAATACATAAAGCATGTGCTTTAAAAAAAAAATATTTATTTATTTGGCTGCACTGGGTCTTAGATGCAGCATGTGGGATCTAGTTTCCTGACAAGGGATTGAACCTGGGCCCCCTGCATTGGGAATACAGAGTCTTAGCCCCTGGAAAACTAAGGATAGCTCTTGAAGCCTTTCTTTTAATTCCAGGATTCTGCAAATCCCAGTTCTCTTGGCTTCTCTGACTCCTCTTATTTCCTGCCTTCCCCCAGGGTAGATTTTCTAAGGAGCCCTCCTCCCCAGCCTGAACTCCCTCAAGGCATTTACCCATGTTGCTGGTTTTAACTATTATTTTCAAAAGTATTTATTATTCAGTGATGTCTTCCAAGTTCCTCCCTCCAGCCCAAACATTTCCTGAACTCAACACCAGCTTGTCCATCTGCCTCTAGATGTTTCTGTGTGGATATACTGCCAACTTCATCTCAGTGAGTTGACACTTGTCTTCCTGCAAGCCAGGGTCTCCTCTTGATGACCTTGTTTCTAGGTAAAGGT